GGCCGCCCCGCCGCTTCCGGCTTCTGCTTGGCCTCGGAGGCCGGGTCCTGACCGGCTCGCTCCTCGCGCCCGCCCCCGCCCCTCCATCCGAGTGGGCCCCGGACCCCGGGCTGGTCACACGGCTACAGCTCCTTGCGCGCAGGAACCTCTCTGTCGTTTTCAGGGTGCTGCTCAGTTCTCGAAAATGACTTGACGCAGGTAAAGCGCCTCGTCCCTGGTAGATGGTTAAGAAAGATCGCTTTCCTGTCTCTTCTTTTCGCACTCGCTTATTCCAGTACTCATGGTGAGCAGGGTTGGTGGTAGTGTCGTCCCCGTTTTCCAGATAAACGGGGGCCACTCGATCAAATGACCCGGTGGTGTCTGAGGCCTCGAGTCTGGAACATCTTTGGAGGAACGTCCCCGGTAAACAAAAGCCGCATCTGATTATTTTCGGGATGGGGTCAGTGGGAGTCAGCTTTTAAGCTCTCGCAGGCTTCCACCGTAACTGGTTCACACCAAAACCTACCCTTCCTAACAGAAGGAGACCATTGTGCATAGGGGATGTGTGGAGAAATAATTGATTTAGCACCTTGTGTCTTGCACTTGCACCAAGACCCCACCGCTCAGGTCCCTTAGAGAATAGTGAAAGAGACCGGCTGACTTGGGGAAATCATTCGATCCATCGAGTATGCGCTAAACCCAGGCACTGTGCCACGGTCCGAAACGACAAGAGATGGGCTCTCCAAGTGCCCTATTCAACACCTTCCTGCCTGCCGCACCGCTTCCTTCTCGGCCCTTCGCTTTGTCCTGTCATCTGTAATAACTCGCCTCACTTTGCACTGCAATCACTTGCTCTCCTGTGTGTTTCCACCACCAAATCAAACTCTCTACGTATCTTAATCCTTCTGTGTTTCCCCCCCCACCACCACCTAGCTCAATGCATGGCATCAAATACTACAGTGGGTGACAAGTTGCATGGGTGAGGTGACAATGCCTGTCATCAGGCAGGGCTTCATGGAGGAAGGGATGTTTAGATTGAATCTGGAGCGCGAACAGGTCAGCAGGTAGGGATGGAAGGAACAGCGTGGGTGACAGTGTAGAGATGGACTATTCATTAGGCAACCAGGAGCTGTTTTGGGTTAGAGAGAACACAATCAGGGCGTGACTGTTCCCTTGGACCAAAAATGGTGATGACGACAAAGATGATGAAGTTTGAGAAAAGGGACATGGATTCAGCAATGGGAAAAATACGAAGACCTGATTTTGTAGTTTGAGATCCTAGTAGTGATCATGTGTTCATAGTTGACACCCTTATGATGACAGTAGGAGAACTCTGAAAAGTTTTCCAATTAATACCAGTGATTTCGACTTATTTATATAATCAACAGACTTTTTCTTAAAGAGATACCCCACGTTCCTGTGTTTGTGAAACCAACTTCATTCTTAATCGGCTTGGTAATATAATCATCATTCTAGTGACCTGTTAGAAGAAGAGAGTTCATTATATAATTGGGTTCTAAACCATCGTATTCACCTTGAGAGTTAATTCAGGAGTGGCTTATAGCAGTCCTCGGGTTGCTGCCACTGTTCCTAGACTCTTTCATTATCTAGCCAGTTGCATAAACAAAAAGTCAGAATTAACAATCCTCACTCTGATAAACACTAGGAATGATTTTATTTCACTTTCCCATTTTCTTGTCTTATAGTGCTTATTAACAACCTGTTTGTAGTCATTTATTGGAACCTTTCAGAGAAAAATAGGCAAAACTAATGAGTAATTAGGGAATGGATATCATTAAAGAGCATGCACTTGTCAAGTAATTTCATAATTTAAAAAGCACAAAATGTTTCCTATACTTCCATAATTTTATACACTTAGAACACAGCTGATAGGATACCTCCTAAACAAGCTGTTGGGAGGAGAGATGAGCAGAGGTGGGAGAGAGTACCTTTTACTTGCTGCTTTCTGTGCTTGGTGGTGGTTGCTTATTTTTTGTCATATTTTGAGAAGGGATGGAAGTGAAAAGGGTTGATGAAGAGCAGAATTGATGTAGTTCAGCACTGTCCTGAGTAGGCTGGGAGCCCTGGAAGAATGTGAAGCAGAGGGCCCCATACTGGAAACTGCAAGCTGGGGTCATGCTGAGATAGAAACTAATCCCACTGGATAGGCACGCCAGGGTAGCTGGCAGCCTTCCCTACCTGACAGGTTAGGCTCTTGAGTTACTTGAAAATTTATTGCCAAACACATTTAGTAATAAAGTTACCCTTTTTACTTTAGTAATTAGTTTCTCGCAGAGACAATGCTTGTATTTGGTTTGGGGTCAGGGCCTACAAATCGTGTTCTTGTTTTCCCCCAGAGAATCCAGCCTCAGCTCCCAGATGAGGATGGTGATCACAGTGACAAAGAAGATGAGCAGCCCCAAGTGGTGGTTTTAAAAAAGGGAGACCTGTCAGCTGAAGATGTCATGAAAATTAAAGCAGAAATAAAGGCTGCCAAAGCAGGTAAGTCTGAAAGTAATGTGGTTTTTCTAACAATTTAAGAAGCCTGGAGTATGGAATTATTTTATATAATAGTATGGTATGTTGGAAGGAGACAGTCCTAGGTGCACACTTTGGCTTTAACACTTACCAGATGTGTGACCTTGAACAAGTTATTTCACCTCTCATCCTCAGTTTATCTCATCAGTAAAGTGGGAACAATAATTGTGCCCACCTTCTTGGGTTATTATGAGGATTAAATGTGAATTTAAATAAAAACATTCTGCTTTTTAAAACAATAGGTGGTTAGGTTCACAAACTGGTCAAGAGATCTCTAGTTAATTAGTGCCTGAAGTGTGGTGTACCATGTAGTATATTTTTTATTATTCACAACAACTTATTACATGGCTTTGGGGGAAATGTTGGGAGTTGCAGACAGTCACTTTTCAAAATAGTTATAGAAGTACAGCGTGATTGTAATCAATTAAGGACTGGCAATATTATGGACTGCTTCAGTGAGCTTTTAGTAAGGGACTGTGCACGTCTTGTTTCTTGTAGCTAGAGGCAGTGGAGAAGAGCGAGCTGAATCGATTCAAGTATCTCATACTTAGATATAGTATGAGATATTCTTGCCAATTAACTCTCTAATAAAGGCCAAATTATGAGGGGGAAAAGAAATGTCTTTAACTTTGTTTTTACTGCAGATGAAGAACCAGCTTCAGCTGATGGAAGAATCATGTATCGAAAACCAGCCAAGCGTTCCCCAGATGAAAAATATTCAGGTTTAACAGCAAGCTCAAAAAAGAAAAAGACAAATGAAGATGAAATAAACAAGCAGGACTCAGTTAAAAAGAACACACAAAAGCAAGTAAAAAACAGTAGCCTCCTTTCTTTTGACAGTGAAGATGAAAATTAGTAAGTATATATTTTTTGGACTGTCTTGAAGAGCCTATGGGGTGTTTTGAAAAATATTTTTTTCCTATTATAAAGATAATACAAATGTGTTATAGAAAATTTAGAAAATACCAAAAAAATTTAGTAAGATAAAAATAATGTCCATCCACCAGTACCCCTTTAACTGGAAATGCTAACTCTGTAGATGTTAACTAGTATTAACACTTTGTTGAATCCTTTATGGGGTGTGTATGTATGTAAATTATATTTTTTAACAAAATTTTGATTGTATTGTGTCTGTTCTCTATCCTGCTTCTCAGCTGACATTATATTGTGAATATTTTTCCAGGTCAGTAAAATTAAAAAACCTGACTTTAATAGCTATAGAGGATTTTGTAATTAAACAGATGTCCTACTGTGTGTCTTCCTCATTAGCAAAATTGCACTTTGGGTTGGGGAGACAATAATGCATGTCGTCAAGAGTACTTCCCAGCTCCTGCTACGGGAAGCCCTATGACAGTTCTGGCAAGTTACGAGAGACAAGTGGGTCTTGTACAAGTAAGGATCTAATAGGAATAATCTTGATACAAATTAGGATCTGATGTATAACATGGTGAGTCTAGTTGGTAAAACTAGAGAGAGAGAGAGAGATACAAGTGGAAGTCTGCTTAATAAAGCCACTAGGGTTTTTGATACAAAAGGACAGATTTGGCAAGCATGTACCTTTGTCCAGTTTTATTGAGAAATAATTGACATAAGTGTATAGCATAATGGTTTGATTTACATCTGTGAAAAGTATTCAAATATTTTTAGTTTTCATGCTTACTGTCAAATTGCCTTCTAGAGAGGCTTTACATTTTATTCATTTACCATCTACAGGAGCCCACTTTGCCTCATCCATGGTAGCAGTGCACCAGCGATGGGCTGGAACCAGCCTTTTCATTTTTGTCAATTTGATGTATTGAAAACGGTGTTTAATAGTTGACCTTAACTGACGTTTGATTTACCAGGGAGGCTAAACTGTTTTTCGTATTCAACATACCATTTTGTATTTTTGTCCAATTAACTTTTCATTTCCCATTAGCACCGTCATGTTTTCCTTACTAATTTGTAAATTATGTAATCTATCTTTTTTGTTATTGTTTCCCAGTCTCTGTATCAGATAAAGAGTCACTTGTATTCTCTTGTTGTTTTTATTTTTTACATTTTAAACTTTGTTCCCTCTGGAGTTTATTTTGGTATACTTTTTTCTTGAATAATTAACCCTTTGCGGTCGTATTAAATTTGGACATGGGTGTCGTACTGGTCGGAATTAATTTCCATTGAAAGAGCAGTGATACATAACATGCTAGATTATGAAGGATAAACAAGGTTTATGAACTGATACATGAATGGAGTTAAGATTCATACGGTTCCTTGCTGTGGTGGCTGAGAGCAGACATACGACCAGAATGGTAAAAAAGCTTTGGTGGCTGAGAGTAGACAAACGACCGCAAAGAGTTAATTTTCCTAAGACCACATCTGTTTCTCACTTACTTGAAAGATCGTCTGAATGAGAGATTTCTCTCATTTTCAAGGTCGGGAACAGATTCTCCTGAAGTCTTCATAGGGAGCACAGCCCTGCCAACACCTTGACTTCAGCCTAATGGAACTGATTTCAAACTTCTGGCTTCTAGGACTCAGAGTGCATTTCTGTTCTAAGCTACCAAGCTTGTGATAACATGTTACAACAGCCATGGGAAACTAATACATAAGTGATGTTGGACAGATTCATCAAAAGATGTCAAAATGAGCCCTGGCCAATGTGGCTCAGTTGGTTGGAGCATCGTCCCGTACACCAAAAGGTGGTAGGTTTGATTCCCGGTTGGGGAGTATACAGGAATCAACAATCTGTTTCTCACATTGAGGTTTCTCTCCCTCTCCCTTCCTCTCTCTCAAATCAATAAAAACATATCCTCAGGTGACAGTTTTTAAAAAAAAGTCAAGATTAGTGGCCAAAACATTGAAAAGCAGAATATTTACAGTCTCAAAGTATCTCTCAAGATAACTTAATTACAAAAGAATTAGTAGCTTTACAGTAAAGAAACCAGAGATGCTGCCTTATCTGAATGATCAAAGACATATTACCAGTAATAAGTCATACTTGACATCATTACCTGACATGATGCACTGAGAAGGGCACATCACTTCCAAAGCCCAAGATCTTTCTAGGGACTTCCTGTTGCCCTTTTCAAAGACAGAGCTTATCAAGGGCAACCCATGTCCAGTACTGAAGAAGCCAAAATCCTAGGATGTGGAAATGGTACAAGAATGTCAAGAATGTTTGTAAAAAAAATTACATTATGAGAACCAAAAAAAACTAATGCTGAACTTTGCTTGTTTGTAATAGCCACATTTATAAACTTTTGGAACATCTATAACTCAAAACTAATTAATGGCAGTTATTTATTATATACAGCCCATTTTATTCTCAAGACAACCCTAGCAAATATTCTCATATTCTTTGGGGGTAGAGGGGTGGGGAAAACAGGCTCAGTAAGGATAAGGTCACACACACACACACAGTGGCAGAGAGGGCATCAAACTCAAGTATTGAGTCTATTTTCTTAACTTCTAGAACACACTACCTCTTGCTCAACATAGAAAACATTTATCCCAATTGAAGACTCAGTCTTAAGCTCTAAGAATTTAAGGGAAAAGAGTTTTCACACAAGTCTTTCCACGCTGGTTATATCCAAGTTTTAGTCTCCAGCATGAAGCTTCTGATGTCGAACAAGTGCTGAACTGTGCCTAAAGGATTTCTCGCATTCAGCACATTCATAAGGTCTTTCTCCTGTATGGATTCTGTAATGTTCACTAAGGTGTGCTTGCTTGCGGAAAGGTTTTTCACACTCACTACACTTAAAAAGTTTCTCTCCAGTGTGAGTTCTCACATGTTCAACAAGGGATGAGTTCTGAGTGAAGGCTTTACCACATTTATTACAAGTGTAGGGCTTCTCTCCTGAATGAATTCTCTGATGCTGCACAAGGCATGCACTCTGATTAAAGGCTTTCTCACATTCGTTACACTTATAAGGTTTATTCCCAGAATGACTTCTCTGATGACGACTAAGGCATATGCTCTGACTGAAGGCTTTACCACATTCCTTACATTTATAAGGTTTCTCTCCAGTATGAATCCGCAGGTGTTTAATAAGGGATGGACTCTGACAAAAGCCTTTGCCACATTCATTGCATTTGTAGGGTTTCTCTCCGGTGTGAATTCTCTGATGCTGGACAAGGACTGCTTTTGTTTGAAAGGCTTTTTCACATTCATTACATTGATAAGGTTTCTCTCCCGTATGAGTCCTCAGATGTTGAGTAAGACTTGACTGTTTACAGAAACAAGTTCCACATTCACTGCATACATAGGGCTTCTTTCCTGTGTGAGTCTTCTGATGCTGAGTAAGAGATGATCTCTGGGTAAAGAATTTTCCACATTCACTACACTTTGAAGGTTTCTTCTGCATGTTAAATCTCTGATGTTTCATTTGCAGTGGAATCTGACAAGAATTCATGCTGCTTGTAACACAACAAAGGGGTGTTTGTCCAATAGGTTCAGGTTTAAAAGAAACCTCTCAAATTCATGACAGTTAAAAGGTACTTTCTCAAAGATGATTATCGTTAGAGTAACACTGTTCTGGGAAAGGGCTGTGTATATGTGCGCGTGTGTTGTCCTCTCAACTATTCCTGCAGGATTTCCCCTCCTATTCCTTGTTCAGCATGCTTCAATTTCTCCAAAGATGAACCCCTGATGACCAGGCTCTCTGACTCTCCACATCTTTCTCAAGTCATTTAACACTGGTCTTCTCGCCAGGAAAAAAATTCACAAAAGAAAATGTCCTCTACGCGGAACAGGGACCTGCATGTGGAGTCTTGATTTTTAACCTCTTTTTAATAATAGAGAAAGATCACAATGACCTGGGGAAAAGATCAGAAGAGGTGATAGGGAGAAGGAGATTAAGTAGTGCCAGGTCCTGGGAAATCTATAAAATTCCCCATAGTGACTGATTCTGAAACATCCAAATACTAAAAACTACTCTAGGTAATTTAGGTTCAAACAGTGATAAACAGTAGGAGAACATGAAAAAGAAATATACTAATCTTGGGTAAATTAACTGTTGGAGAAAATTACTGCCCACCTATAGTCTTTACTCCTCAAAAAAGAGGTGAAAAGTAATTGTATTTCCTTAGGTTGCCTATAAGCAGTATCTTGGCAGAGCAGTGACAAAGTTTCTCAAGATTTCAAAGGTGACCCCAGCTGTAACTTTCATTAGGTCCACTTAACCAACCCTCCCTTATTCACTCACCTGGACAGGTGTCTCTTTGGACCTCTCTTTCTTTCTTAAAACATTCAGCATCTATAGCTCTCCCCCTAGGTAAAACCAGGAAATCTCTAGGTTTGAACACTAGAGTCCTGCTTATTAAAAGAAAGTAAGATATGCCTGTTTTGTTTGCAGAAATGTAAGCTACAGATGGTCCTTAGGGAAGAAGCTCCCATTGGATAGCAACTTCACGAAAGCATAATGGTCCAGGATCTGGCTCTCACCTTTGAAGCCAAGAAATGCTTCAGAATCTGATGTATACTAATAAAATTCTAAAGGACAGTGATGTAGAAAACAAAGTCACTTAGTAACTAATTTACAATGAAAAATTTTTATGCTCATTGTCAGCTGGTTAACATTCTCTCCACTATAGGAAAACTGCACGGGAACCAAATCATTGTCATCAGAACACTCTTTGGGAAGCAGAGAAATAAAGAGACTGAAATACTTAGACAATCCTAATGGCATCAAACTTTGAATCCCTGGTGCCCTGAATAAAGGCAGACGGAATCCGAGAACGGAAATTTAGGTACCACACATCAAAGCAACCTTTTCCCAGAATGATGCTGGAGACACACATTCTTAGTCTGAGGCTCCTTTTTATTTTAGTTATCTAATTATGTTACACATAAACATATCCTCACTTAAAAATATTTAGATAGTATGGAAGTATACAGGATAAAAAAGTAATTTTTATAACCATCGCTATCCCACCCAACCTAAGCAAACCCATTCCCTTCCCAGAGATTATCATGATTAAGTTTGGAGTATATTCTTTAAGTCTTTTTTCTACATATTTTCAATACACACATAGTATTTGATTCTCTAAACAAATAAAATCATTCTATAGGTGCTGCTATGCAATTTGCCCTTTTTTCACTAAAGAATGTGTCTTAGAGATCATTTCATGTTGGTACATACAGATCTACTGGGCTGAGAATGAACTGGTACACACTGGTATATATGCACAAAATGTTTATGGTCTGAGACTGATCTGATTGGGCAGTCCTGTACCATACTGGTTGTTATACATACTGACTATTTTGCCTGAACCTATCTCTCTGTCTGCTGTATAAACTTCCAGTATGGACACATAAAAATAAAAGTCAAGTGGTTTAAACTGCTAAACATAAAACCGAAACTCTAACCATATTTTTATTTCCTTTATTGTCTCAAAATAAAAAGGTGGTTTTTTTAATCATACAAAGAATGCATGCTCATTCTAGAAAAGTCAGTCTAAAACTGAAATTTTCCTTGAAATCCTACCACCCCGAGAAAATAGGTGCTTTCTGGTGAACTTTCCCCTAGGCATTTCTCAATGTGTACATATATTATATGTATGTATTAGACTAGACTGAATTCTTTAGAATATAGTCATGATCTAGTCACACATTTCCCATAATCTAAAAACCCAGTTCACCCAGTACTCTTCCTACTTGGTTTAACAGATACCCAGGCTCCACACTGCTTTCTGATGGTCAATAACAATGGCAGCTGTGATTACTTAGGCTTTTGTTCCAAATAAGGCAGGAGCCCATTGCATATTCTCCAAGGAAACAATCACCTTTCAATGGGTCTTCCAATAACTTACTATCAGTTTTCCCAGATCTGACCACTACATCATGAAGGCACTACACTTAGCAGTTCAGTGAGTGGTTTCAAGGTGTTCCACCAGATTACTGCAGAGGGAGGTAGCTAGTTTTGCTACAGTTTAAGGACATGTGATTAAAATAAAATAATTAGTGCAATGCCCGGCCTGCATGGCTCAGAAACTGAGCATCAACTTATGATCCAGGAGATTGTGGTTTGAGTCAACATCAGGGCAATATGCCTGGGTTGCGGGCTGGATCACCAGCAGGGGGCGTGCAGAAGGCAGCCAATGAATGACTCTCTCATCATTGATGTTTCTATCTTCCCTTCCCTTCCTCTCTCTGAAATCAATAAAGATATATTTAAAAACAGAAAAATATTTTTTAAAAAATTAGTGCATTCTCTGATCTGTCCTATAACCCATTATGCCATAGCCTTCTTCCACAATAGGCCACTCTCACTCTGATTTCAATAAGATGGCTCCATTTCTGGGTGGTTCTATGTTTTCAGTCTGAAGGGTCTCCCCTTCTAGTCTGAAGGGTGATCACTGGTGGACCCACTATAGGTCTGCCACCAAATAACAACCCATCCTGAGCTCTCTAGTTCAGTTTCACTTACCCAGAGAAGAGCTGCTAGGAACACAAGGGATACTGGTTTGTCTCCTGGGGACTCTTCTCTTGAAGGGCAGAATCTGAGGCACAGAGGGGGGAGAAAGAGCACCATAAATTGTCAGCCTACTTCATACTCAGGATTCAGGGGAACCCAGGAATATCCCAGCCCTAACCAAATGACTATTTTAAATCTGAATTAAAGAATATCATTGTTTGTCTATCATTAAGGACAAAAAGTCAGCGAGTGGGTAGACTTCAAGAGATGTGGCAATGCACAAGGGAAAAGGGCAGGTGCCCATAAGGACTAAGTATCCTGGGGAAAAAATTCTTCCACAGAAGATAAGGTTGGAGCCTGAAGCCCCTCTCTCCCCTCACCCCGCTCCAATCTAGTAGAGAAGCCACTGACTTCAAAAGTCAGACTACGGCCACAGTATTCCATTATTTTATTTGAAAGGTACAAACTGAGCAGCTATTATGTCAAGCAATGAGATCGCCTCTTTTGAAAATGGGCTTTGTTAACTGCAGGGAAACGCCCCAGAAGTTATTGTCCCACAACCAGAGGTGGAGGGATCTCAGGAAAATAAGACTGCCTTTTTGTGAAGCAGAAACTCCCAACAGGACAAAGGGAGTCTGTTGGAAGATAAGGATCCCTCTTAAGAAGAAAGGTTTTAAGAACCCCTTTGAATAGAAAAGAACACTGTATTAAAAGGCATGGACCTGGTTTCCAGGCTAATCAGCCCAATCCAATGAGCACCTCTTGACACTGAACAAACTATTTTCAAACTCCTAGGCAAAATTTAATATTCAGGTCAAATGTGAACCACCACACCTCTTCCTTGTGGGAAAATGTTCACGTTTCAATACACTTCCTCCTCAACGTTCTGAAAGAATTTCACGTCTCTACTGTAGCACTTGCCACTCTGTTTTAATACTGTACCCTGATTACTTCTGTCTTCCTCCACTCAACGTGAAGCCAAAAGTAGCCTGGGCGCTGGAGATAGCGCCCTCTGGGTCTGAATCCCTGCTCCACCATTCATTAGCTAAGTAACCTTTCTGTGCTCCGGTTTTCAAACGTTAAATGGAAATAATTACTTCATATGGTTGTGAGGACGCATAAGTGAGTAGAGTAATACGGCAGGTAAGCATTCAGTAACCACTACCTGCTGTTAAAGCATTATGGAGTCTGTGTCTTCATTCAGTACCTCTTCCGCTGCTTTAAAAGAACAAGAACTTTAATGAAAGAACGGCGGTAACTCACATGCTGTACTCATTCAACATGCACAACTTTGTGAAGCGGCAAAGCAAGGAACAGCATTCGCTTCTGCCGGTCAGAAAATGTAGTGCCCAGAAGTTCGCTCGCTCGCTCGCTCGCGTTCACATGAACAGAGCCCCGGTCTCCCGACTCCCACATCAGGGCTCTCGAACAGCCTCTCCCTTCCCTCTCCAGGCGGAGCTGGCCCCGTCCCTGGGCATCCGCTCCAAAGGGCCCTGCTCGCCCCGAAGGAAGAGGCGCTGCGGCCCACGGGCCCCGGGTCCGAGAGAAGCGTCGGGACGGAACAGCTGCAGCGGCGCCAGGCAGAGCCCGCCCAGCGGCGGTTCCCGGCGGCTCCGCCCACGCGCACCTCACGACTGCAGGCAGCATCTGGGCGTGGCCGAGCAAGTTCCGGACGCTCCGGCTGGCGTGACGTCAGCAGGCTGCGCCGCAGTCAATAACCACTGCCGTGTCCTCTCTAGGAAGGCGGGAGCGGCTTCACCTCGGTGGTTCCTCCCGGTCCAGAGCCTGGAGTTGCTGTGTCCCCGCCCAGGGGACGGGCTCCATAAAGTCCGCAAACCCATCGCAACAGGCCCCTTTCCGAAATCGGGAAGCTGAACAAAAGGGAGAGTGGGGGCCGACCACAAGGAGCTCTTACTACCGGTTAATTCATCCTGCAACACATTTATCTACCTAAAATCTCTTTTCAAGGCCTGTCGTTTGGAGGTCTTCTCGAGGCTTTCACAAGATAGCTTCAACCTTCCTTACATTCTCCCCGGCCACAAAATTGGCCTCCTCACAGGAATCCCAAACACCCTACTGCTTGGGGTCTTTGTTCAACAAGAGCTCTGCTTTAGGCTTAAGTCCCAGATTCTCATGGTGTGAACTTGGGCAAATTACCTCACCTGTGTGTGTGTCTCCTCACAAAACAGATAGTAATGGTACCAAACTTCATAGCATTGCTGTGAGGATTAAATGCGCTTAATTCCTGTACATTACCAAGTTCTGGTGCTTAAAAAAAATGTTCAGTAAATGTTTGTCCCTATCGTGTTCCTCAAATCCCAGCTCCAGCCAGTCCCCACTATTGTGCATTGACTTCTGTGACCTTTCCAGCACTCCTTAGCGCCCGTCCCCCTTTGGCAAAACTCCAGATCTTTGTGGTCTACATTCAAGAAATATTTGCACATAAAGGCTCATCCTAACAGGTGTATTCCAAGGATAAAGGCATGGGCAGCAGGCCAGGTCTCCGATCCATTTCCAAGCATTCCTGCCAATCTGCAAGCTCAGGAAAAGAGGGTTGTCTGCTTAGTATCATATCCCTGTTGTGCAGCAGCCTGCACTGAATAGACCCTGGAATAAATGAATGAAACGCAGCAGAGGAGTTACCTGCTCAATTTCCTTGATGGGCTATTTTCCAAAATGGGAGTCCTTAATTTAGGAGCTGAAAACTGCTGTGCAGACAGATGCCACAGACTGAGACCATCACTAAGCATCTTCATCTAAAAGAGCACCCGTTTTACAACTGTTAGCTGACATGCCAGGGAACAATGTTGAGCTTGCCTTTTTTACCAGTGTCAGTCTCAGCACTTGTTTGAAACCAGATAGCAAGTTCTTCCCTCCAGTCCCAGTATCTCACAGGCCAGAGTGCCTAGGCCTATTCATTTTTTTTTCTGTTAGGACTCAAAGAATTTCTAAATCAGAAGGCTCTTTGATGTGGAAACTAACCTTGGCGGGGAGGGGACCCTAGGCAAAGCAGGTTACTAGAAGAATACGACTTAAACAGCACTTTGGGCTGAGCTTCTCACTGAAAGGTGGAAAATGAATGTGAGAGATGGGCACCAAACTCATTCAACAAAACTAAAGCATATTGTGACCAGCAGCTGAAGGGGAGTAAAACTGAAACTACCTGGGATGAAGGATAGATTTCTGCATTGTATAGGAAGAAAGGCAGGGTCATAATTCAAAGTCAATTTATTTCTAACCCTCACTTACATGCAGGATAGTCTGATTCTGAGGTCCAAAAAGGTTCTTGATCTAAAGTGAGCTCCCCCTATCCTCAGGAATAGGGCAAAGTTGGAGCCTTAAGTGATCAACATACTTTTGTCTTATAATAGACACAAGTAATAAGACATTGTGGAGCAGAGGTACAACCAATAGAGAAATCTGAAGGAAAACACCAGAGTTTCAATTTCACTTAACACTGTGTGACTTTGGAAGTCCAACCACCTGTTTTCCCTGTTTTGAGGATCTGATGAGGCCTCATCTCCTTCTGAAGATTTCAACACACTGTGAATAAGCAATGATGTTCCAGTTCTTTATCATACCAGAGGCTAGGGAAAGCCATGAGCTCAGGAAGCGCTCCCATGTTAGGAACACTAAGCTCAACTGCTTTTCTGCCAGGCCAGCATCACTGTGCAGCTCCTGCTTGCTTCATGGATATTCCAGTTGACATACCTATGCTTCTACATTGACATTCATTTCCCTCTTCCTATGACCCTGACATCAACATATCTGAAAGAATTTTGTTAAATTGTGGTAGGATATTTAAATGCCTAATTTGTAGCAAAACACAAATTTTGTTACAAAATATTTCTTCTTATGGGGTCCTCTGCTTAATACAACCATACACTCTGTATCTTGGAGAAAGATGCAGAATTATTGATCCTTGCAAAAAACTCATGGACACACTCATGTACTCACCATACCTTCTTTCTACTGATAACCATGGGCCTACGTCACATGTTGGCATGGAGAAATGTCTGACTCAATATTTTAGTTAAGGTCAAAGATGAATAAATACCACATGGCCCCTGGCCTCAAGGAGCTGACAGTTTAGTGGGAACAGAAATATTTGTAAACAAGCTATTACAGTGTATGTAACATGAAAATAAAATGATATAAAATACAGAAATAATTAAAAATAGGTGAAGTCAGAGACAGCTTAAGGAGATGTTGCCTGAGCCCATTCGTAACTGACAAACGGGAGCTTTTCAGACAAGCAGAGCAGGGAAGGCTTTTGAGGCAATAGGAACAGCGTGTGCAAAAGTTCCAAAGTAGAGTCCAGTGGTGATGTAGAATCACAGGAATATGCACTATGGGGCAGAATAGAGCTGAGAATGGCGATTTAGGCATGGGCCAGATAAGGGGCCTCTGAAAGGGGGTGCAACTTTATTCTGAGAGAGAACAGGGTTTCCACAGCTGTTCGACAAAGACCATCCGTAAGAAATGATGGCCTAGTGGGACAAGAAACTTACAGACCAGGAAAATAGAAAAACAGTTTAGGAAATAAACTGGGGAGCTAGACTAAAGTAATAGCAGTGAAGATGGCTTCCAGATTTAGGAGATGTCAACAGGATACAGTGATTGATTGGATATGAAGACTCAAGAACAGGAAAGATTGTGGAAGAGGGTAATTCCTAAGTTTGGGGTCAAGCTGCAGTGGCTGTCCATATAGTGGGCTGGCAACTGAGAGAAAATTAGGAACAAATATTTGCAAGTATGAGAATATGGAATGAAGACAGTGGAAAGATGGTGTTTCTTTCCTTCCTGTTCCACCAGGAAGTGAAAATGGTACCAGACTCTCAAATCCTGAGGATTAAAAACTGAAGAGTTGTGCCCATTCCATTTTAGAAAATCTCTCCAGCAAGTATTTAAGACATTTTCTACCCTTGTTTTACCATTTCATCCTCAAGAAAACTCTTTATCCTTTCTAAGCTCCAGTCAAGACTCCAAATGTAGGTGTATAAATATTATGCTAAATACTTATACATCAGGAATTTCCTAAAGTTTCTGGTGGGCAAGGATTGACTGAAGTACACTAATCTAACAAATATTTATTGGACATTTACTATGTGCCAGCTATGAACTCTTCATTTGCAAAGTATAAATACATTGACATTTGCTTTCTACAAACTGTTTTTATGAGCATAAAATATAGTTTAAATAGGGGTTTTTGCCCATAAGGAATTCATTTACTCAGTTATAAATTGCCCTGTGCCAGGTTTTAAGAACATATCTTCACAACTGAAGAGAGAAAAGTGTATTTCTTTCACATTCCCATTAATGGTAATTAATGGCTCAAAGCAAGGCTTACAAGACAGCTGCTCCTGAAAAAAGTCAATGCTGAGTTCCAAATAATCAACCATTGCAGAATCAGCTTTCCTTCCATTTTTAGTGGCCATATTTTAAAAACTGTATTAAGCTTCAGAGCATAGAAATGAATTCCTGTCAAAGGCTATCCTCAATCTTTCAGACCTGAATCTCTGGGTAGCAGTTAAGAACATGAAAGGGAGGAAAGAGTAAAACATGCCCTTTCTCTCAGAATAAAATACCATCAGTCAGTGGCAACCCATGATCTCTTTATTTTCAGGGATTTGAAAAACAGGTAATCCTCTCTAGAACACTTTCCAAATTCAGCAAATGAGAAGTGTCTCCCTAGATACTCCTATTCTGCAGATAAGGGCAAATATGCAGGAATAAGATAGGCCCAATAAAAAGAGAAACACCTGAGATCCAACAAATCTGTTACCACCACCAGTTACATAAAACCTAGCCCTCCTGGCTACAGTGATCAATAATCTCATAAGGTCTGGTGCAGCAGCCCCCAACTTCAGTCAATCTAAAAGGCTGTCTTCCTTCTTCACTAATGCTTTCTCCTCCCTAAAGGCAAATAATAAGAGTCCCCTTTTGTTTGGATACTTAATCTTAATGGGTTCCTCTCCCCTAGTCCCTGTAAACCAGTGACCCAACCAAATTTACAAGAGACAGGTATACACCTCAGTCCAGGGCAGGGGTATACTGATGGTTTGCTCAGTCACATGCAGGGTTCCTGCTCTATGGCCTCTTATGACCACCAGTAAAGCACAGGCCATTTCCATCACAGGAACACCACAATTCCTCTGGGACAGAGGTTGGGCATTCCTTTCCATAGCCTTCTAAGCAAATACAACTCCCTTCCCATAAACTGGCATCATTCAAGAAAATTGTCTCTTGTCCTCATCTTTCTTTGTACAGCTTAAAAGGATCAGGAAAGATCTCCCTCATCCTGACAGAAGTTTTCTTTGCCAAGATATATGTAGAGGTCAGCCCAGTTCTTGCCAAATATTTCCTTATTATTAAATAAATATGGATTATCTCTCACTTGTTTCTGTCTCCCTTTTATGGGAGCACTTCCACAAGTTGAGTACTCTCCCCTGCAAGACCATGGTTAGAGCTGCCTCAGACATCTGAAGGCTATTTACCACTACCTCACAACTGCTGTCACTTTCACAATGAGTGTTTGCAAAAGCACCTCAGCCAACTGGTCAATGAATGTACATGACAATTTGGGAAGGTAGGGCAGGAGTATAATAAGGAAACACAAGTACTAACTTAACAAGTGGTACCTCAAGGTACAAGTCACATAAGGAGAGAGGAATGACAGGTAGCAAGAATTTATCTCAAAAGCAGGAACTTCCCTTCTACCCAGTTCTCTCAGAGGCCCACCTGGAGTAGGTTCTGCATTCTCCAAGCCCTCACATATATCTCTGGAAATACTCTTCTGAGTGCAGTATTTAAGGCTCCTTCATCCTTCCCTCCAGGAACTCTACCTGCCCCTCTCTCCTCAGCCAGATTCCTAGCCACTATTTCTTGAGAAATTGCCATAACCTAATGAATGCCAGGTTCAGACACCACTGTGAAGTTTCTGATGTCTGAAAAGGACTGAACTATGTCTGAAGAATTTTCCACATTCAATGCATTCATAAGGCTTCTCACCAGTATGAATCCTATAATGTTCACTAAGATGTGCATACTTGCGGAAGGTTTTTTCACATTCACTACACTTATAAAGCTTCTCACCAGTGTGCGTTCTATGATGTTCAGTAAGAGATGAGCTATGAGCAAAGGCTTTCCCACATTCTTTACATTTATAGGGCTTCTCTCCAGTATGAATTCTCATATGCTGAGTAAGACAGGTATTCTGATTGAAGCCCTTCCCACATTCATTGCATTTATATGGTTTTTCTCCCGTGTGACTTCTCTGATGCCGAATAAGGCAAATGCTCTGAATGAAGGCTTTACCACATTCATTGCATTTGTAGGGTCTCTCCCCTGTGTGAATTCTCTGATGTTTAGTGAGTGGAGTACTCTGAGTAAAAGCTTTGCCACATTCCTTACATTTATATGGTTTCTCTCCGGTATGAATTCGCAGGTGTTTAATAAGGGATGGACTCTGACAAAAAGCTTTGCCACATTCCTTACATTTATAGGGTTTCTCTCCAGTATGAATTCTCTTATGCTGAGAGAGGTTTGCCTTTGTTTGGAAAGTTTTCCCACATTCATCACATTTATGGGGTTTTTCCCCTGTGTGAATTCTCTGATGCTGTGTAAGATTTGAATGTTTGCGAAAAGAAGAGCCACATTCATTGCATAAATAAGGTTTCTCACCAGTGTGAATTCTCTGATGATGAATCAGGTGTGTGTTCTGATTGAATGCCTTCTCACACCTATTACATTTATAAGGTTTCTCTCCAGTGTGAATTCTCTGATGTTCAGTGAGGTGTGAATGATTGCGGAAGGAATTCCCACATTCACTACATTTATAAGGTTTCTCTCCAGTGTGGATTCTCTGATGCTGAGTAAGAAATGATCGACATCGAAATGTTTTCCCACATTGCTCACATCTGTATGGTTTCACTCCAGTGTGAATTCTTTGATGCTGAACAAGGAATGAACTACGACTGAAGGCTTTCCCACATTCTTCACATGTATAGGGTCTCTCTCCAGTATGAGTTCTCTGATGTTGGATAAGGGATGAGCTCTGAGTAAACATTTTTCCACATTCGTTACATTTCCAAGACTTTTTCCGTGTGGAGAGGGTTGAACATTTACTTTGGTCTGAAACCTCATTGGTGTTTATGCTACTTGTCTCCCACTGATGTAGACTCTCTTCTGTAGAAACCCTGATATGAGTAACAAGGCTTGAGGTCAAAAGCAACCTTTTCTCAAAATTATATTCTTGGCTAATCATTTCAGGAGGTGCTTCCTTGTGGATGAAAGTTACTCCCCCAAAACCTCCTTCCTGGAAAAAGCATGGACTAGGAACCTCTCCGGGAGAGTTTTCCTTCATGTTCTCACATGCATATTTTTCTTCACAAGTAGAGTCCTGGGATTCATCCTCTTGGAGTCTCTTTCCTACTGTCCCTGGTGAATCAATTTCAGAGACATTCTGCTTTGGAGCAGGCTTGTTCATCCAACCTGAAAGAAACCATTAGAATGAATATTTCTTATGTAAGGCAAAGTGGAGAACCCTGAAGTTCTGAGACCTAACTTTGCAGGTCTCAGTAAGGACCAATAAAAGCAAGTGGGACAAATAATTCAAAGTTGCAAGTGGTGAAAGAGATCTGCATCAGGATAAGGTAATCACCACTAATGAGGAATTCCATGGAAAGGGCAGCTACAGACACCCAGAATGAGAGAACCACAGACAATGGAGATAAGGGGAAAATAATAAACAACAAGCTAATGATTAGGACAAGATGTTTTATATTCAAAGAATGGAGGATAGTGGGAGAATGTATAAGGGCATATGATGGAACTGAGAGTGATAAAATGAGTATGGAGGAAAAGCTGGCCCCAAGAGATACTCACCCAAACTCACCCCCAACATCCATAAAAGAGAGGGTAGTTTGAGCTTCATTTGGTTTCTCTTGTAAAATTTCCAAAGCCCTGCTTTTCCCCCCACTGGCTGTCCCTTGCTCACTCACCTGGACAAATCTCTCTTCCAATCTCTCTCTCTTCGGCTCCTTGCATATTCCAGATCCACAAATCTTCCCTTTGCTTTAATTGTAAAATACTTCAAGGTTGGAAAACTGGGAGCCCTGCTCACAGGGGAAAAAAACGTGGAGGATGGAATATAACTATCCTAATAAAAAGAAAAACGAGAAAGAGCTTTGCCTAGGGAAACTAATGACTCACACAAACTCCATTTGTCAGTTCTCTAAGAAGTGATAGCTAGGACAGAATGACATATGAACAAACTCTCAAGTGCTTGATGAAAAATCCAGAATGTTATTTATAATGATAATTAAGTGGATAGGAATATTCATGTCAATTAGTACACTCTGTCCATTATACAGTAATCTTTATGAAAAGTCAATTAATAAAGTCAAAAGATGCAATGGGAAAATGGCCTCACAACAAGGCTAATTTAAGTCAGACCCACCCACCTCCATTATATGCCAAGGAGCTAGATAGTAGTTAGGGAACTCTATTTGATACAACCTAGAGATACACTGACTGTTCTTTCTTCTAAATGTCACATCAAACAGTTTTTCTTCAGGCATAGCTTAACATAAAATGAAGGCTGAAGTTTAAAATACTTTGTAAAATAATTTCTGATTTACAAAAGAGTTGCAAAAATAGTTCAAAGTTTCTGGTGTTTGGAATGTCAAAATTATAAAAGTTTATCCAAAAATGTCTCTTCATATAACATTGACATGATAAGTAGAATTGGCAGTGTTATTTCAAGGAAGACAGGGATAGTTTCAGAGGCATGAAAGAATAGGCTGTGCCTGCTGAAGTATGTAATAAGGATGGTCCTTGTGGACTTCTCATGAAGGCCTACACTTCTGTGTTGAGTTTTAAAAGTTTAAGAAGATCCTATCTGGGATTTCCTGTTCCTCTTCCACAGTAAGGACATAAAAGGGACCCACCACACAATCCTACAGAGACTCATGAAGTAGAGTGGGGTTTGGGTATCATCAGAGGTGGACAGTGGAGAAAAGGTCAGACATGACCCTGCCTTCCCAGAGCTTACATCACAGCTGGACAAAGACATTAAACCAGTAGTTACAAATATGGCAATTACAAAAGTGGATATATGGGGTGCTATGGAATATAGAGCAGAGGGTACCTAACCTAGTCTGGAAGGAAAAAAAGCCTCTCTGAAGAAGAGATAAATAGAAATTACACACATGAGGAAAAAGAATATGTAAGAGATGAAACAGAATTTACAAAAACAATCAAGGGCAGTACTTTGGAAAAATTAAAAAGACCCAGTAACTCAAAGTATTAAGCACCAGAAATAAGACAGGAACCCCAAGTCAAGCAAAGGCCAGACCAAATACAACACTGCAAACCATTTTAAGGCATTTACCAAAAAGTGAGTAGAAAGACATAAAGGGGACTTGAAAAGGTTTGAAAAAGATGTAACATTATTGGCTCCTCTGTTTAAAAAAGCACATTAGAATTTTATCTGTCCCTAACACAGAGAAAAAAAATATATAAGGGGTGGAAGGTAGCAGAGGCAAGATGAAGACTGGAAGACCCCTTGGGAAGTTGTTTCAGCAGTCCGGTAAGGGATTAGACTGCCTAAGAAAGAGACACAGGATTGGATGAATATTGGGAGGGAGGGTGAAGGGAAAGCGATAAGTCAAAGATAATTTGCTGGGTTTTGGTGTGTGATGACAGCAATCTTTAGTGACAGTGGAAATACTGGTTTGGGGAAAAAGAAGACACATTTAGTTTGAAGTATCCAATAGAAAGTAGGCATACATATCTGGAATAGAGGAGGGAGGTATTTATTTAGAGTTTTTGTCATAAACAGAGCAACTGAAATTCTGGAGAACAGATAAAATCATCAAAGGAGTGTGGCTAGGAAAACCTCAACAGTGAGTTTACATATTTAAAAGGAAGTTTAACTCTAGCTTTTGATTTCTAATCCCCTAAGAGAAATAAATAAAATAATTTAATATAATTGGCATTTATAATATTAAAAAATTGGTTACTCATAAATTGTTAAAAACACCTAGTGAGAGTCCTACCTCATACCATATACTCAAATAAATCTAAACTTTTGATTAAAAGGTTAACTATAAAAAAAATTAAACAGCAAAATAAAATATTGACAAATGATTGTTTTAGGGTTATGGTAGCCTTTTCTAATCCTTATGCAAAAAAGCACAAACCACAAAGACAAACTGGATAAATCTGGCCACAGAAAAACAAGTTTCTACCCAAAATGCAAATAAAATTAAGACAATCCAGAAAAAGTACTTTGATTTACCTAATAGATAAAAGACTAATGAAAGGAAAAGATGAAAGGATAGAAAAATGGTAAGTACAATAAATACACCAATATTACAAAAGGCCAATAAACACATCAAAACAAAGTTCCATTTCAGTGAAAGAAATGGAAACTGAGCCTGAAGAGTCAATTTTTGTATCAAATTGGATTTTTTAATGCTAAAACTCAAAACTGGCAAAAGTGCAGAGAAAGGGAGCTTTTCATACATCACCGGTGGGAATGTAAACTGGTACCATCTTTCTAGAGGTAATCTAGCAATATGTATCAGATCTTAAAGTTGTAGGTTTATTTCCAGTTGGGACACATTGAACACCACTTTGTGGGTATCGGAACTAAGACAAGAATACTCGTTATGTGTATATAGCACTTGCAATGTATCGGAGAGGATCCTCAAAGTCATCAGGATATGTTCTAAAAATACCCATATTGTTTGACCTAGTAATTCCACTACTAGAATTTTCTCACAGAGAAGTAACTTCTCAGAAAGGAAAAAACTGAATCCTTTCATTAACTGTTAAAGAACAAAAATCCCCTGCAATGTTGTAAGAAACACAATTTTCTAATGATGGACACTGAGGCTTAGCAAATTATGGTACTTCCACTTGGTAGAAATTATAGAGACATTAAGATTAAAATAAAAAAATAAAAATGTGACCATTTGGAAAAATACTTATACTATATGTAAATAGGAAAAATACAGGATAATAAAATTTCAAGTAAAACATATCATATACGTTAAAATACGCATATGAATAAGAACAAGATGGAACATTAATTTTCAATCACTATACGGTGAATTATGATTTTCTCCTCTAGTTCTCAAATTTCTCCTATTATCTACATTTTGCCTTACTTTTAAAAAACTAATTTAAATCTCTAACAACATATATCACATTATTAACCGATTGTCTCTGTAATGAGAAAAAAAGTGAAAAAATATAATCAGAAAGGAACAGAGACTTATGTACTAACATCACACTCTTACTATAATTGTAAAAAAACAACAGGCAAATAAACATTGATGGCATATAAATATGATAGATTTTGAAACTCTTAAAAATCATGTTCTCAAAGAATATTAATGAGAAAATACAATATATTAAAACAGGATATAAACATTAAAACAAAAAATAGGTACACATATACATATACCAGCTTTAGTAAGCATTTAATAAAAAGAAATTATTAATACACGGATATTTACAACACACACACACACACACACACACACACAGGAAAGAAAACCCACCAAAATGTTAAAACACTGATCTCTAGGACTTTAATAGGTTACTTTACTTTGTCCTTTACACTCTCCTATATGTTTCACTTTCCCTACAATAAATATGCATTACTTTTATAGTCAGAGAATTAGTAATTTTGAAAATGACTGATCTTACTCGTGGGTTTCAATACCCCCTCCCCCCCCAAAAAACATGAACAAAACCAATAGCCAGATCCAATGGATATGGTATTGACCTCCCATTCAGAATAAGATTAAAGTGGATTGGGCTGGAAGTCAGGAAACTTTGCTCTGTGACTGTCCATGTGAGTGGGCCTACATGACAGGCTATTTAACTGAAAAAGATCACAAATTAGATAGTATACAATAAGTCCTTCCAGCTCTACCATTCTGTGAATCCTTGACTAAATGAGTTAATTTATGTAAAACATTTATAAAGATCTGCCACAGGGTAGACACTCAACAGGAGTTAAGAGTTATGTTTGATCCTAAAACCTGTGGAGAAGAAAAGACATCTGGGTGACAGCCATTTCCTTTCAACTGTGGATCATCTGAGCTGTCAGCAGTTTGTTTATGTCAAACTGCAAACTTTTTCTGTAAAGAGGTATAAAGTATTTTAGTCTTCGTGGGCTAAACGGGCTATATGATCTCTCTGTCACTATTCAACTTTGCCTTTATAGTCTGAAAACATAACTAGACAATATATAAACAAATAAGCTTAGCTGTTTCAATAAAACATTTTTACAAAAACAGATAGTACAAAAACATGGACCATACACTGCTGACTCCCTGGTTTGTAAGTTCCCGAGAAAGGAATGTACAGGTGTTTCCACAAATGCTTAGTGTGGAATAATCTGTTAGTGATTTTAAGTTGCTAAAGGGCTCTGTCTGAATCCAGACTTGGGGTGAGATAGGTATTAGACTGAAAGGTAAGAGGAAGGAAGCTTTTAATAGTTTCATCCTGTTAGAAGTAATTGGGAGCTGGCTTCCTCCTCTACCTTGTAAGCTTTCTCCCATCAGCCACCTCTTTAGCCCCTCAATAATTAGTTGAAGGGTTCTGGGCAAGTCGCATGGGGTTTTTCAAGAATTTGAAACCACAATTCTTTCAATAAGAGCACACTTAAATGTACTCTTCTCTGAAGCCTTTCTTGGACTTGTCAGTTGGCCAAAGTAACATACTCACCCAGGCTGCAGCTGCACAACAGATCTATCTCTTCTGCAGCTTTGGGTCACTTACTAGCAATGCATCCTTGGACAAGTTATCTATTCTCTGTATCTCAATTTCCTCGGTAAAATCTACAGATAATACATTGTTGAGAAGGTTAAATAAATTAGCACAAGCACTTCAAACAGTGCCTGTTAAGTGCTAAATAAATTTAGTCACAAAAATCTGCATGTACATGTACATATAATGTCTTCTCATTTGGCACGCTCCAATGTCTCTCATTCCGGAGCCCCGCCCCTGAGCTCTACCTAACATTTGGCAAGAAACAGTGAAATGTTGATGGAAAACATTGACGTCTGCATATGTTCTGTAACACAGAAGCTGTCAA